CCTTCTTTTCTAACATCTTGAATTGTTTTGCTTGGATGCACATATCAGTCCAAACTCTGCAATCAGATTAACAAAACACAATTGCTGTGTGCATGTCATACGCTACACCCAAGCAAATTAGTTAAAGCAAATTAGTTATGGGGCTTAGTTTTCTCACACAACTGGTAGTGGGGTGGAGAAGGGTGAGACCTTGATGAAATGGCTTTTTGAATGCCTTGTCTCTCATGACAAGAACTCCTCCCAATTGCTTTTAGAAGACCTTAAAATGTTCTTATTCTGCAGAACAAATGCGAATTGCACGGGTCTACCCTAATCAGCAAGCTTAGACTGTTGATGAGCTTTTAGTGTTTCTTTGTACTGTACCCTAAATTGCCTTGAGTCCTTTGAGGAATAAGCAATCTACAAATAATTCTAAAATAACAACATACCGTACTTATTAAAGCCGTTTGTGATGGCCTGGTTCTTGCAATGTGCTAAGATAACTGCTAGGTTTCCTACAATAGACTAAACCGTCTCCAGACCTGAAATGAATGACGTTTGTTCCTAGCTTAAAATGTCAAATATCTCACAGATGTTTTAACTGGTTTTCCTGCATTTTGCAGACAATCTTTGTAGTCCCTACCGATTTTTCAGAATGAGGGCAGGTACTGGTCCCTATTTACTATTTCTTCTCTTTCAACAGCAGGATTGATTGATTGATTGAATGAATGAATGAATGAATGAATGAATGCAGGCAGACAGCCAGGCATGAATGAATTAATGAATGGGTTTATTGATGGTTATGGATAAGAAATGCGGAGAAAACTTATTCAGTCTGAATTTTCATACAAATTGGTCCCATTGCTGAAAATTTCATACTTCTGTACCGAAATCTGTTTTTCTTTCAGAGTATCAGAATAGAGTCATGTATTCACAACTCAAAGCATCTGCGTCATTTGTGAACCAGAAAGATGTGTTCTGTATATCTATCTGCAAAAAATGCACAACGGGGAAAGGGTCATGTATCTATTAAAAATGCACCTGCTTGAAAAACAAACAAACATGAATGTATTAGTTGCCATATGAGTGGATCTGACTGTGCTAGAATGAAGGTGGAAACAAAGTTGAATCAAATTTGTATTTTGGGGAAGAAATGAGGAAGAATACATCAATGAAATTTATGAATGCGTAAATGAAATTTCAGAGGCTTGCTCGTTACTCTTTAGAGGGATGAGCTCCGAAGGGGAAACAGAAAGTATTGTTGCAGTGGTACATAAAAATGAAAGCGTAAAGCTTTGGATCAACATTCAGGAGACTCCAGAAGCTACATTTTGCCATTTGAAAACAACTGGCAATGAAAATAGAGGAATCATTGGTATGATTCCATCTGGATTGAGACGTTTTTCCTGGGGGATGGAGAGAGAGAGAGAGACAGAGAGAGAGAGAGACAGAGAGAGAGAGAGAGAGAGAGAGAGAGAGAGAGAGAGAGAGAGAGAGAGAGAGAGAGAGAGAGAGAGAGAGAGAGAGAGAGAGAGTTAATCAGGCGATCAGCCTGGGGAGAGAAGCGTGTTATTTAATTAGTTTTACAATGCCTTGACTTGGAGGCACGTGGTCCTTCGAATAGAAGTGGATAGATGTTCTGTTAGCTGCCTAATTGTTCAGAAATAGCAGGGCTTTTGTTCAGCCTCCGCATGGGGTATGTGATCTTTCTCAGCCTACGGGCTGCCCCCTGTTTATAATTTTAGATGGATCTATTCAGGCTTGCTCTCTAGCATGTATATGTAAAAAAAAGCAGAACAAGAGCTGCATTGTTGGGTGGCCAAGATCACAGTCCAAGAAAACCACCCCAAGAAAACCAAACACGTGTGGAGGCAGTTCCCTAGTAGGAGAGCAGATCTGCCAGACTGAGGCTGGTGGAAATGGCTAATTTTCCAAGATGGAAATGCAGCAAAGGTGCCCATAGAACGAGGACTCCAAAGCATAGCTCATGAGAGCCACAACTCTTTTAGTCTCTCTCTCTCTCTCTCTCTCTCTCTCTCTCTCTCTCTCTCTCTCTCTCTCTCTCTCTCTCTCTCTCTCTCTCCCTCCCTCCCTCCCTCCCTCCCTCTCTCTCTCTCTCTCTCTCTCTCTCTCTCTCGTTTACAGTGCGGTGATGAAATACTTGCTTGGCATACAAAAAGTCCATGTTGAATGGACTACAACATAACAGCATGGCAATATTACAGAATATTAGAATTCTAAAAGCCAGGCGACTGTGAGTTCCAGTCCTGCCTTAGGTATGAAAGCGGCTGGCTGATTTTGGGCCAGTCACCAGGAGACGGTGATTTCTAGTCCTGCCTTAGGCATGAAAGCCGACGGGCTCTACTTTGGGCCAATCACAGGAGACAGAGAGCTTTAATCCCGCTTTAGGCATAAAAGCCAGCTAGGTGACTTTGGGCCAATCACCAGGAGAACGGTGAGTTCTAATCCTGCCTTAGGCATGAAAGCCAACTCACCTCACAGATGGATAAAATAGGAGGAAGAAGGAGTTTCGCATGTGTTCACTGCCTTTATTTATAAAAATAATAAAGGCGAGATATACATAAATATATATAAATAAAATAAAATTATTGTTCTGGGCTGCCAAAAACTTTATAGGGCTTCTGTGTGAAAATGAATCTGTTTCCTGTTTCTTGGGTGAGAGCTATAGAGTGCAAGTCTATCTCCAGGGCCTTTTCTTCTTCTTTTTTTGCCACTAATCTTTAGCACTGGCCAGTTATGGCTGAGCGGTTGTTCTCCTTTAGCTTCTGAGATCATTTTTGGAAGCTCCTGTTGATTTTGGCTGGTTTCTTTTCTACCGGAAACAAAAAATTGACTGAGCGTTGTGAAACTGTCCAGGTCACTTTGGATCAATGTCGTATTTTCCAAATTTATGTATTTACGGCATCCCATTTCACTTTCCTTAGTGAATGCCACAACTAGACATTGTATATATCCTTGTGGTCTACCTATGAACTCGACTAACTCTCACCCTAATCACACTAAAAATTAAAACTTTCACAATAACCACTAAGCCAAAAAAACCAACCTCTTTTAAACTCCAAACGAACAACATTACCCATCAGTTAGAAACATACATTTGCTGCGTATTTCCCCCAATATATGAATTTGGTGTACACACCCACCAGTTTTTTGTGGATGCTTTCCCTGAATTTATGCTTTTCCCCCCCTTTTTTCCTTTTTTTTTCCCTTTTCCCTTTTTCTTAATATGCATATTTGGGATGGTTTGTTGGAATTCACATTGTGGAAAAGGTAGAATTCAAATCACCCTGATGTTCAACAGGGAGGAATCCAGGAATTTTTATAACAGTTGTGATGGAACAAATTAATTTCCCTTCCTCAGTCTGAACTGAACTGAACTGAACTGAATTGCTCCCTGTTTGGGTTTTGGTGGACAGAATGAAAAGATGATTTGTGCCATTATTGAGGCAGATGTCTACAAGGTTTTGGTGATTCCAATTGCAAAACTGTTTTGATGTTTATCATGACGTATACTACAAAAGCACATATATCTATTTTTAAAGAAATGGAACGTAATCAGAGACATTTCATATCATCTGAAAATTCTCTGAGCTGCTCAACTGTAGTTCAAAAACTCTTGTCCTGGATCCCACAAGTTTTACAAAGATGGGGGTGGAATGGGGGGAGGTGAGGAGGACTTCTTCCAGAAGATTGGAGAGATGCTGTTCTGAGACCAGTTTCTATAGCTGCAAAATTATGCTTTTCTAACAAAAAAGAAAGTACTGCCTGAAGACAGAGGATCTTCCAGATTCAGTGAGATTAGAGTGACGTCCTATTTAATTTCTGAGCATGGTTTCAGAGAACCTTCCAGAACTAAGTCACAGCTATTGAAAAACTGGATAGGATACTAGGGTACAACTTATCTCTTGTATTTCAAAGCAAGGTTATCACCAATCCATGGCCATTCAGAAATTCAAGGAGGTCACATAATATGGTAGCCCACAGAACACAAGAAACGTCCGGTTAGTTAGGTGATTGATAGCTAATTCATTGCTCTCTATTTTGACTGGTAGAACCTACTCAAGATTTTAGGCAGGATATTTACTATACTTAAAGAGTTGTTTGGGATTCTTACCCCAGATAACGCAAGAACTCAGTCAGCATGTGAAAGCCCATCTTTGAACTACAATTATCTAGAGAGCTTTTGACTATTTTGTGTGTATAATGTGTACAGGCTTTACATTTAGGAATGGAGAACTTGAGTTTTCCACCAGAGTTGGTTCAAAGAATTAATTCAAAGATAACAATCACTTATTTCAACTGAATCTTCTAGCTGAGTCTCCAAATTGAGTCTGTGAATCAAATCGAATTGGGTGCTTCTAAATCCATTTGAGCATTTAATGCATGTTTCTGCATACACAGGAAGATTGTTTTCCAGATCCAATTGAAGGCTCAGTTGGGATCAAGGTTGTTTTGCACCCTTCTGATTTCCAGATGTTTCAACAGCTGAAGACTTAGTCAATGTGGCCAGTGATAGGAGTTGATGAAGCCTGTGGCCAAATTAGACTTGGAGAACAACAAGGGCTACATTCTTGGGTTAAGCAGATCATTGTTAGTCTTTGTTGATGGAATCCACAAAACATATGGTAATTCCCACATTAGCCTGTGAAACATTTATCTTAGTTATCAAGGGAATCTGACTTCTTTATGCCAACTGCATTTATTAATGTGTGGGAGGAATATGAAAGAATATTAATTGTTGGTTAAGTGATTTGTTTTCCTTGTGGGTATGAATCGAATTTTAAGAAAGAAAAAATATTTTTTTTTATCTTAGTCCAAATATGATTAAACATTGAAATCTATAGTTAATGAATGCATTTAACTGATTAAAATAGAAGTGTGCAATTTGTTTTAGGATTGGACACCATTTGGATTTTGACAGACTTTCTGAAACATTAAACATTTGTTGCATATTATGGATTTTTTTGTGTGCCTGGATGATACACACATACAAATTAGGCATGTTTGGTGTAGTGGTGAAGCTGCTGATCTACAAACCAGGAGCCAGTAAGTTTTAGTCTCATTTTAAGCATGAAAACCAGCTAGGTGACTCACCAGGAGATGGGAAGTTCTAGTCCCACCTTAGGCATGAAAGCTGACTGGGTAACTTTGGGCCAATCACCTGGAGACTGGGAGTTCTGGTTCCTACCTTAGGCATGAAAACTGGCAGGGTGACTTTGGACCAATCACCTGGAGACTGGGAGTTCTAGTCCCACGTTAGGCATGAAAGCTGGCAGGGTGACTTGGACCAATCACCTGGAGACTGGGAGTTCTAGTCCCACGTTAGGCATGAAAGCTGGCAGGGTGACTTGGACCAATCACCTGGAGACTGGGAGTTCTAGTCCCACGTTAGGCATGAAAGCTGGCAGGGTGACTTGGACAAATCACCTGGAGACTGGGAGTTCTAGTCCCACGTTAGGCATGAAAGCTGGCAGGGTGACTTTGGGCCCGTCCCTCTCTCTCAGCCTAACCCACCTCCTAGAGTTGTTGTGATGGAGAAAACGGAAAGAGGAAGGAATTCACTATCTTGAGTTTCTTATAAAACAATAAAGGCAGGATAAAAATCTAATTCATACAGTCTCAACTTTCTACTCAGGCAGGCAGGCAGGCAGGCAAAAGTAACTGCTCCATTGCAGGAATCGTCAGCCAACCAATGGTGTCCTTTAGAAGTAAAACTAAACCCCGGCCCTACTGTGCAAAATGTATTGAGGAATACATTAAGGAGCCTGGCTTGGGAAAGAGAGCAGATGTTTAGCTCAGGTACAGCGGCTCCCAGCTCAAAAAAAACCAAAAACGGTCAGTCTTCATCCCAAAGAAAGCCAAGCAAGGGTTTTTTGTCCAGTTCTCTGTCTTTTGTCTGCTGAGAAAATCATGGAAATGTCACCTCCTCTGTGTTGATCTTTGCTCCTTCCTGCCCCTTGGGCTTCTTCTCCTCCTTTCCCTTTGGGTTCGCTGCTGCCTGTGCTTGTTGGCCGTTACTTCCGTGGGAAACATTTTCTGGGGAGGGAGGGGGGACAATGACTGGGGCTGTCTGTTCAGCTGTTGAAGAGGCAGGGGGCTGGAAGCCTCGGCTCTCCGTTCTGTTCCAGGCGTTTGTGGTTTGTTGGAGAGGAAGATGTGCATCCTGGATGGCCCGGGTTACCGAGCACTGCGGGGTGCGGGGATGATCAGGTCTGTTTTCACACTCCAGGGACCAGAGCTGCATTTGGACAACATTGTCATTACAGCATAAAGGCCGCAGGTGGCTGCGCAACCCTTCTTCTTTCTCTCTCTGTATTGATCATAGAGCACTTTCTCTGCTGTGGCTCTCTGCCTCTCTGGTCTGTGCAAATACTTGTCAAGGCCTTTGGAAGGCAAGATAATTGGCTTCTGAAAATTGAATCACATCTGTCCTTCTGAGCTTGCAACACGATCAGTCTTCCCCACAAGCAGCTGCTTCTTTTACACTTATTTATTCTAAAAAGCAGAAGCTAGTGTTGGTGCCTACTGTATGTACAGGAGCTAGAGGGAGGGAGGGAGGGTGGGTGGGTGGAAGGAAAGAAGGAAGGAAGGAAAGGAAGGAAGGAAGGAAGGAAGGAAGGAAGGAAGGAAGGAAGGAAGGAAGGAAAGTATGTTAAAGTAATTAAAGTGCAGGACTAGGGACAGAGGGACCCAGGTTTTAGGCATGGAAGCTAGTTAAATGACTTTGGGTTGGTCACTCCTTCTTAGCCCAAGAGAAATGTGATCAAGGTATTGGACTTAGAGCAGGGTCTAGTCTTCAGTTAGGCACATAAACAAGGTTATAGTCTTCAGTTAGGCGCATAATAGGCAGAGAGACTAGTCTAGTCACTCTTTCAAACCTAGACTGAAAAGTAAAAAAAAAAAAAAAAGTATATGTATCAACCCATACTGGACTAGTACAGTAAATTAGAGTTTATTTCCTTGAACGAAGAGGGCTTCTTCGTGCAGTGAATTGAGTCTGTCTGTCTGTCTGTCTGTCTGTCTGTCTGT